TTTTTAATGAGATTTCTAGTCTGTGGTCTCCATGAAGGAAGCCAAACAAATAACAGGAACTAGAAAGGCTGAAGGGTCCAGACAATGGCAGAAAATAGTCACCAGGAAATTAGAAATTTACAGCACTCCCTTGGGAAACTTAGCATCTTACCTGGCTGCTTCCTAAAGTGTGAAATACATGACTAACTACACAGCAGACTGTCAGTGCATCTAAAAGCAGTGGCCTTCAAAGAGTAATGCTAATAGAAAGGAAAGCAGTGAAGAAAGGCTGTGCTCTATCCAGAACAGGGCCAGGCTAGCCTTCTCCACAGTTAGCAGACTCCCTGCATAAACAGCCTCCTCACCAAGGCACCAGGAGAGCAAGGCAGTAAAAATGACAGAGAACAGACAACTAAAGAAATAGAGGAGGGAAAGAAGAAAAAATAAAAATACATATATTAAACAGCTACCTGATGAGTTTTTAAACAAGCCATGGCTCAGTGTTAGAGCACTGAACTACCATGCAGGAGGTCTCAAGTTCCATCCTAGCCCCACAAAAACCAACTGACCAACTGAACTCTGAACTCTGTATACAGAAACACCTCTGCCCTGGGCATGGATGGATAGCACAAGAGCTATAAATTGTCTGTTTCCCACTCTACTGTGATCCAGTGACTCAAAAGGCCTGGCACACAGTAGGCACAATGTAGTTATTTGATGTCCTGGTCAGTTTTTGGTCAGTTTGTAACAAGCTAGAGTCATCCGGGAAGAGGAACTTCAACTGACAAAATGTTTCCATCAGACTGGCTTGCAGGCAAATATGTGGAGCATTTTCTTGATTAACTATTGGTGTGGGCAGTGCCACCCTTGCATAGGTGTCCTGGGAGATACAAGAAAGGTAACTGACTATGAACCTGAGAGTAAGGCAGTAGGCAGCACTACTCCATGGTCTGCTTCAGTACCTACCTCCACATCCCTGCCTTAAGTTCCTGCCCTTTCCTCCCTTCATAATGGACCTGTGAGATGGAATAAACCTTTCCTCCCAAAGTTGTTTTTGGTCATGGTGTTTATCATAGCAATAGAAAAGCAAGCTAAGCTGGGCAGTCGTGGTGCATGCCCTTGGTCCCAGCACTCAGGGGGCAGAGACAGGTGGATCTCTGAGTTCAAGGCCAGCCTGGTCTACAGAAGTAACTGCCAAAGCTAGAGCTACACAGAGAAACTGGGGGGTGGGGAGAGGCAAGCTAAGACATTTGTCAACTGAATAATGAATAGATTCCACCAGGAAAATATGTTACCAAAACTTAGAGAGAGAGAGAGAGAGAGAGAGAGAGAGAGAGAGAGAGAGAGAGAGAGAGAGAGGTGCTTGGTCAGGCTTTGCTGACTCCCCAGGGGGGTCCTTACCTTTTTGGGAGAGAGAGAGGCTGGGGGGGGGGATCTGGAGAGATGGCTCAGGGGTTAAGAATACTAGCTGCGCCGGGCAGTGGTGGCGCACACCTTGAATCCCAGCACTCCCACTCGGGAAGTAGAGGCAGGCGGATCTCTGTGAGTTCAAGGCCAGCCTGGGCTACAGAGTGACTACCAAGAAAGGTTTCAAAGCTACATAGAGAAACCCTGTCTCAAAAAAAAAAAAAAAAAAAAAAAGGATACTAGCAGATTTTGCAGAGAAGCCAGGTTCAATATCTAGCACCTACATGGAAGTGGAAGTTCACAACTATCCCTCCAGTTCCAAAGTATCTGGACCTCTTCTGGCCTCTGTGAGCACTCTGTGGTACACACACAGTGCATAGGCATACATGCAGTCAAAACACAGATACACAAAAAATAAAAATAAATATATTTTTAAAAAAGAAAAGTAAAAAATAAATAAATAAATACATAAGAAGTCTGAATTGCTCTTACCAGGAACTACTACACCACAATGATGTATGTGAGAGGGAGAAACCAGGGGCAGGAGAAATGCTGCCCTGCCTGTTCCACAGCCTGAAGCATAGGAACTCCCAGGTCAGATGAAGCCACCCTACCAGCTGAACAAAGCTCAACCGCCAAAATTACATGCTGAGAAGAGCAAGAAACTTCTGGAGAACTTTCACTAAATAAGCTGGATCTAGCATGGGAAACTCTTCCAAGAATTTATTGGATTACCCAACATCTAGAAAGCTGTCAGCGTAACTAACCAAAGATGTGAAGGTAAATAATGTGCTGGAAAGACAGCTCAGCAGCTAAGAGCTTGCTGCTCATGGAGAGAACCCAGTACCCGTATCAGGTGGCTCAGGACCATCTGTAACTCCGATTCTAAGGCATCTAATGCCCTCCTTCTGACCTCCCTGGACACCAGGCACACATGCGGGGCACACACATGCATGCAGGGGAAATATTCACATGTATAAAATTAAAACAAACGAATCTTTAAAAAAAAAAAAAAAAAAAAACTCAGACAACAATCTATGGACGACGCTCTCAAGCACAAGGCCTCCTCAGGAAGCAGCAGGCTGAGTCTGGCACAGGCCCAGTAGCATTCCCTGACTCCTCCCAACAGTGCTAACCACTCGGCTCCTCCCTAGCATGAAATTCCTGTGCACTGGCTTTGTAATTTAACGTGTGTCGCTTCGTGCAGATTTTAAGTCAACCTGCCCTCCCCACCCCCCAACTCTTCCACTATTCCTTTACTCATACACCAGGCATTCCTAGGCTTAGAGACTGTTAGTAGTACACGGGAGCAATCTGAACACAGTTCATTGAACGTGTGTGTGCACCGTCTCAATTACGTCAGGCTTGCCTGCAAACTTTGAGCCTAGAGGCTGACACCAAGTGCTGGGGCTGTGCATCTCATTTACAAACCATCAGTCCACAGACAAGCCTCCCCTGAGATAAACTGGGAGATGGAAACCGCATCCCACTACTCATTCGAATCAGTAACCTAAACTGCACACATCAGAGTAAGATCAAAGTGGGGGTGGGGAGAGGTGAACAAGTTCAACAGCTATTGGGAGAGGGAAAAAAAAGTTCAGACGAAAAAAAAAGCAAGTATGTTTCCAACCTGAGTGGGCAGAAGGCTTCATAACACCCACCCAGCACTCCCCCGCCCCGAAGCCCCTCCTCGTCGGTCTTGCATTGAGCAAGTATCCAACCCACACGTCCGTGCTCAAAAATTGCTCCTCAAGGCGCCAGTAGCGCGAGTGTGACTGAGACCCCTGCGGGGCCGAGCGCTCACCCTCTGCGGTCCAAGCCGGCCCTAGGCCTCACTCGGCCACACTCCGAGCGGGTCCCTTCTCCCCACACCCTGCCCGCGAAGCCCAGAATCCTGGGAATCAGTGTGAGCACGCACGCTCGCAGGTGCGGGTCGGGCACCGGGGTCACCGACCCTCGGCCTCCTCCACGCCCACCTGGAACTCCAGGCCGTAGATCACCGGCGCGTCGTCCTCCATGACGCCTCGCCGGCCCCGCCGCTCACGCCTCAGCGCCCGAGTCCAGCCTCACACCAGCGATCGGGCAGAGCCCATTCATTCCCCGGCCGAGAAGGCGAGACGACGCGCCCCAGGCCGGCTCCCAGACGGCTCACTTCCTGTTTTCCTCGTGGCGTCATCAATACGCTGCTCCCCGACGGCCAATGGCGGCGGTGCTTTTCTCCTGCACATGCTCATTTGGACGCTTCATGCGGGCTGGCGGCCGCGGGGGCTCCTGGGTTGGAGGGCGGGGCCAGGAGCAAAGGCTGCGGGAATGGGCGGCCACCAGGGCGGCGCTCTAGCTCCTGAGCTGCTCCCCGGCGCTTCCAAGCCCTGCGCCCTCCAGACAGCAGGTAAAGGGACTTTATGGTCGGCAATGCCCAACTCCTAAACCGTGGCCCTGAGCACCAGCCAGGACCTTTGCCCTCCAGGAGCAGGGTCGTAAACGTCGATTATTAGCGCCTTCATGATCTCAGGGAATTTTGGATAGTCAGTTTGATTTGATCCAAGACTTCTGTCTTTTAGAGTCCGTCTTTTCTGATATTGTTAGTAAAAATAGATTTGAATAAAATGGAAAAAGATGAGAGGCTGCAAGCTTGAGCCAAGACGGCAGTGGTGTAGGTGAGCAGTAAGGAGCAGCCGTGTGCGACCAGTCCTGCACAGACACAGCCAGGCCGGTGATCTATGTTGCCCAGAGCTCCCAGAGACGGAAGGCTCTTATGTCCCGGCACGAAAATGCTGGAATATAAGAATGCATCACGGGGAATTCACTGGCCTGGTTCTAAGGAGTTCTGGATGTACACACGTTTCCTTGGTGTTTGTGACTTTTCCCAGTATCTCGGACTGACCTTCATGGCAGTAGCTTATGTGATGCTACCTTAGTAGTCATCCTTTGCCCACCTCTGTGTCTAACGCTGTGACTTCCTGGTGAAATCTCTGGCCACTAGCTCCCACCAACCCCAAAGCGACCAATGTCATCAGACAGCACCTGAGGCCTTTGCTGTAACCCACCTACCTAATGCTTCCAAAGTGTGCTCGAGAGGTGAATAGATTCACTTCCTGTTCTGACTGGAAACGTGCATCAAATTGTTACCCTGTCGGGCTGCAGAATTTAATTCAGGTGACCTGACTCTGTGTCCTCAAGCTATGGTCACTCATCGTTGGCACCGGAATAAATAAACGCTTATCCCCTTTGAGATGAGAGCTGTGTTTTGGCACTGTCACGGCCTTTTCTGAGATTACATTACAAACCAAGAAAGCAGAGTCCCTGACTTGAGAACCACACTCAACCAGCCAACTCCAGCAAGCGGGGCTGACTCTTGACCCTCCCTACACCTTCCGTCTCTGTGGATGTTAGCACACACTGCCACAGACACAGGGTGGGGAAAGTAGAGACCCAGCAAGCACAAACACAAAGCCCTAGGAAAAAGCATCCTCGGTTGCTGTCAGCCCCAAGGACAGACGATTTCATTCAATCACCGGGCCCCACCCTTCTCATCCTCCAAACATTTTGCCCTTAGGTCCCGCCCACCGCCCGTGAACCGGAAATGTGCTGGCTTCCGGCTTCTAGTAGGAGCTCCCGAACGGAGCATATGCGGAAGTCGGGCTTTACGAGCCGGCCCGCGCAGGCGCATAAGCCCGTGGGAACTTGGATTTTGAGTCGGTTTCAGGTCTTCAGTCATCTCTTCGGACCCTTTTCAGCCGTGGGTGATCCGCCCCCCGGGGGCGGGTGGCAGGTGAGCAGTGGGCCGCAGTCCGGAGGGGTCGCCGGGGCCCTCGACCTTCCCACGGAGGGCGGCGTCCGCGCGCGTCGTCACCGGTCGCCCCCAAGCCGGCCTGGGACCTGCCCATCTGTGGCGGCCCCAGCAGGGGTTGCCTGTTGGCTTTAGCCAACTCTGTGCCCCCTGTGGTTTCTGGTTTTGGACAAAGTACACGCCCTCCAGGCCTCAGTGTCTCATGTACAAAGTGAGGACCAGGTTCACTGCATGCATAGTAGGTGCCCGTGTTTACATAGCAATGCTCGTGCTACGTTTTTGTTTTACCCCAACTTTTGCTCCTGCGGTCCTCGGTGTCTCATCTCCCCACAATTAGACAACGCTGTTAGTCAGGCGCGGGGTGCCTTAACAGACCGGCTTAACCTGAGCACGGAAGAGTGAGTAGTGTTGGCTGGGCAAAGTGATTCAGGAAGACTGCTACGTTTGAAGTCAGTCTAGGTTAAATAGGGGGACCCCCATCTCAAAAAGAAACGAAGGAAGGAAGGAGAGAACGGGAGTGTTGGTGCTGCGCCTGTATCAGCATTTGGGAAGTGGAGGCAGGAGGATCAGGAGTTCGAGGTCGTCTTCTGTTACATAACAAATTTTAGGCCAGCGTAGGTTCCCTAAGTCCTTGATTTATAAAAACATCTCACACATAATAAAAAGCTAAGTAAAGCTGGGCAAGGTGGCACATGCCTTTAATCCTAGGACTTGGAGGGCAGAGGCAGGCAGATCTCTGTGAGCTCGAGGCCACCCTGGTCTACAAAGTGAGTTCCCAGGACAGGTAGGGCTATTACACAGAGACAGCCTGTCTCCAAAAACAAACAAACCAAAACAAAAAACAGCTAAGTCAAAACAAACATAAATGTCAGCCAGCTAGTATGTAGTAAAATTGGGGCATATGTACACTGTTACAGAGAGTGGAAAGGAGTTCTGCTAACGTGGAAAAACTACAGTTCCTTGTTAAAATAAAAAGTGATTACTGTCAGTCAGCGATGGCATATGTTTTTAATACCAGCACTCAGGAGGCAGGGCTTAGCAGACCTCTGAGTTCAAGGCCAGCCAGGTCTACAGGGTGAGTTCCAGGACAGCCAGGGCTACACAGAGAAGCCCTGTCTCGGAAAAACACACACACACAAACACACAAACAAAAACCGTGATTACCATATGATCTAGCACTTCCCTCTCTGGGCACTGGAATAGGATGTACCAAAGAACTGAAATTAAACTCTCAAAGATGCATTCACACATCCTGTTCACTGCAGCAGTGTGTACCGTCACTAGAGGCTAGAAGAAATCCAAGGGTGTGGTAATGGGGTAAAGGGATAAACCAGCTGCCACATGCCTGCCGTGCAGTGTTATCCTCCTATCAGAGGAAAGGAATGCCATGCATGCTACAGGATCGGTGTTCTGTATGGTGTGGAGAATGAGCTGCGTTAGCCAGGCTTCCAGTTCTAATGACTGAGCATGTAGGGAAGGAAAGCCCATGCATGCTGCAGCGTGGATGTTTGGTACAGTGTGGAGAATGACCTATGATAGCCATGTTTGCAGTTCAGATGAGTGAACATGTAGGGGAGGAACACCCATGCATGCTGCAGCATGGATGTTCAGTATAGTGTGGAGAATGAGCTATGATAGCCAGGCTTCCAGTTCAGATGAGTGAGCATTTAGCAAGCAAAGAGCAAATAACACCCAGCAGACAAAAGCAACAAGTGTCATCAAAAACAACAAAGCCTCATCCAGTCAGAGCTCACAACATCCAGCAGGGAAGACCGAAGTAGTCTGACCAAGAGTGAGCAGAGGACATCCTCCTGCAGAGTCTGCTGGGGAAGTCTGGATTGAGGGTCTGGGGCAGGGCAGAGCAGTCTCTCCATGGATGAGTGTCCCCGGTGTCTGTTGCCAATGGTTACCTTCCAGCTGTGCTCAAGAGCCTGTTTTTACTGTGTTGCTGTTCTCAGCCTGTACCTAGACAAGGGCCCTTGGAGGACGCTATGAGGCAGACGTGGTTGGGCCTGAGATGGGGGAGGGGGCATATCCCAGCTCCACAGATAACGACATCCATTACAGTGGATGAGTGCTTTATGAGCTACTTAAATGAGGCCCCTAGAAATCTAAAAAGGACGGGAGCCAGGTGGTAGTTGTTTTGGTGTGAATGGGGTGGGGTAGATTTAATGGGTGTGGAATTTTTGTTTTGCAAGATGATCAGAATTCTAGAGGTTGATTGGACAGAAGGGAGAATGCTCTAAACATTGCCGAGCTGCATGCTTAAAGACGGTGAGCAGTAGATTTGTGTGTGCTTTGTCACAATTAAAAATAAGTAGATAAACTAGAGAAAGAAATTTCTAATTTTGTACCATTTGGATGCAGAACTCTTAAAACCTTTGTCCCACTGAGCAACAAGATAAAAGTAGCACAGCCCATCGTCTCAGAACCACAGAGGTGGTGAGTTCAAGTCCACCCAGGTTATGTGAGATCCTTTCTCAGGGGGAAAAAAAAAAGACAGTGGTGTGATTTGTGACTGTCTCTATCTTTAGACAACATGGAAGAAGCTAATGGTGGTGAACAGAGCCCAGGTGAGGCATCTTCTCCAGCCCAGGCGGGGCCTGAAAATATCCCCGAGCCAGTGTCTGGGGAGGAGGGCCAGCTGCTGTATCACGAGGAGACCATCGACCTTGGTGGAGATGAGTTTGGATCCGAAGAGAAGGAGCCGTCCTCCGAAGACTCCCGCAGCTTCGCAGATAAGCTCAATGAGCACATGATGGAGAGCGTGCTCATCTCCGACTCTCCCAACAACAGCGAGGGTGACGTGGGTGACCTCCTCGGCTGTCTGCAGGACGTGGCGGCGGAGCCCCCAGGAGGTGCCACCGATTGCGGGCTGCCCGCTGCCGCAGACAGAGAAGTGGCGGACACCCTGAGTAATGAAAGTGAGACCGATGGAGACGATACGCCCAGAGACGTTTCAGACATGACACCTGATAGCAGAGCATCTCTGAAAGACGACTCAACGCAGGAAGATGTGACGGGCATGCCCGCGCTGGAGAATGTGGGCGCGGGGGACGTGGGGCCCAGGGATGGCCAAGCCCACCCAGAAGAACGGACCTCAGAAGTGTCCTCCAGCCAGTCCTCCTCCAAAGACGAGCCCGTCCCTGTCTGCACCATCTTCAGCCAGGCCGCCGCGACTCCCGCTCAGCCGCACCTGTTTCTGCAGGATGGCTTCGAGTCCCAGATGGTGAAATCTCCGAGTTTCAGTAGCACCAGTGAGACATCAGCCAAGACCCCTCCTCCCATGGTCCAGCCCAGTCCCAGCCTGAGTACATTTTTTGGAGACACAATGAGCTCCAATTCCTTGGCCTCTGACTTCTTTGACTCCTTCACGACTTCCCCTTTCATTTCAGTCAGTAACCCCAATGCAGGTTCCCCAGTTCCAGAAAAGCTGTCTTCACTCACTGGCCCTGTGGGAGAAAAGTCGCCAGGTTCCACCAGCCCATCATACTCTACAAGGATGGAGAGATCGGAATCGGGTGTCTCCCTGGCACCTCCAGATGTCCCTGAGTCTCCAAAGCCATTCTCACAGATCCAGGCTGTGTTTGCCGGGAGTGACGACCCCTTCGCCACGGCCCTGAGCATGAGCGAGATGGACCGGAGGAATGATGCGTGGCTTCCCAGCCAGGAGACCAGAGAGGTCCTGATGAAGGTAGCCACCCAGCAGTATGGCACTGTGTTCATAGACAAGGAGAACCTCACCATGCCTGGCCTCAAGTTTGACAACATTCAGGTAGGGTGTGGAACGTTTCTGTGTCCATATCTCACCCCCCCCCATTTCACCTCTTTCTAGAAACGTGTGCAACAGAGACTTGGCAGCAGCTATAACTCTAGCCTCCGGAACAGAATGTAAACAAATTAATAAAGAAAGAATGTGTTCTAGGGCTGGAGAGATGGCTCAGTGGTTGGTAGTGTTTGGTATGCCAGAGGACTAGAGTTCCACAGTTCCCAGCACCGACATCAGGCAGCTCACAAATGCCTGTAACTGTAGCTCCAAAGGAGCCAATCCCCTCCTCTGGCTTCTGCAGGCATTGCACTCATGTGCGCATACCCCACCTCCACCCCCAGACAGACAGACAGACAGACACACACACACACACACACAAAACTAAAAATAAATCTTTATACAAGAAAAGAGTGCTTTTCAAAGGTTTTACCTGATAGTGGGTATTGGTACAATTATTAAGGCCACTCCACGTAGTTAAAAGAAAGATTTATTTAGTGGGTAACTTACAGATGAAGGGATAGGTAGGTCGCGGGGTCTGGGGGAGGTGTATCGCAGTCCAGCGGTGTTCTCTGGAGCTCTGCTCGGTCAACCTCCATTGTCCAGGGTCCAGGAACAGAGAGAGAGCTGGCCCATCCCAATCTCGGGTCTCCAGGGTCCTGCCTTGGCCCCGCCTTGTAGGCGTGACAGTTGCCGAAGCCTCAGTGGGGGTTGGAACTTCCTGATTAAAGCTGGAATGGCTACCCACTACAGTGGGAGATTAGGTCAGACCCAGTGTGGGACCGTGGGTGACTGAAGGCAGTGAAGATTTCTAGATGGCCGTGGTTCTGAGTCTGGAACTTTCCAGCTTTCTGTAATTTCTCAACCTGTGGGTGGTGACCCCTTCTCAAACAGCTCTTTCACAGGGCTCTGCTAAGACCAGAGGATAACCCAGATATTTACATTACGATTTATAGCAGTAGCAAAATTACAGTGACTAAGTAAGAACCAAAATAATTTTATGGTTAGGGGTCACCACAACACGAGAAACTGTTTTAGAGGGTCAAGGCGTTAGGAAGGTTGAGAACCACCATTCTAATCAGTCAACCTTACAGAGGCTTCAATGTGGGCGTGGCTTTCTTCTGGGAAGAAGATGCCCATCAGCTGTCCTCCCTCTGACACTGCCTTGGTTCGAGTGTCCTTTGTTCTAAATCAGCTCCCAAAACACATTGAGGTTTGTTTTCCAAGTGGCTCATCTCAGTTATCTAATTAAAAGTCTCCTAGTTATGGGATACATTTCTATTACTTATTTATTAAGCAACTTCATTGGCAATCCAATTAAGTTAGTGAGGCCTTAGAGTTATGTTTGCAAAGCTGTATTCAGCTGTAGTATTGTCCCGCAAGGACATGCATGTTTTCATCCAAGTGCTCTGCTGGATGGTGTCTTAGTTAGGGTGACTATTACTGTGATAAAATACCATGACCAGAGGCAACGTGGGGGAAGAAAGGGTTTATTTCACTCATGGTTCCATATCACAGTTCATCATCAAAGGACATCAGGACAGGAACTCAAGCAGGACAGGAACCTCGAGGCAGGAGCTGATGCAGAGGCCCTGGAGGGTGCCACTTACTGGCTTGCTCATCATGATTTGCTCAGCCTGCTTTCTTACAGAACCCAGGACCACCAGTTTGGGAATGGCTCCACCCACAATGGGCAGGGCCCTTCCCCATCAATCACTAATTAAGAAAATGCCCTACAGGTTGACTGCAGCCTGATGTTCTGGAGGCATTTTCTCAGATGGGGCTCCCTTCTCTCTGATGACCCTAGCCTGTGTCAAGGTGACATAAAACTAGCCAGCACAGATGACATTCATTCCTTTTCATCCTGTGTAGCAAGCAGACAATAGTAGGTTTTCACCGTGACACTTCCATACTCAGATAGCATGTTCTGTGCTCACATTCACCTCCCATCTTCCTCCCGTCCTCTCTGTCACCACCCAGCTTCTCTCCTCCAAAGTCCGTTCTGCTTGTCATGGTGTGCGTGTATGTTAATCTAGGCTCCACATATGAAAGAGAACATAAGGTTTTTTTTCTTTTTTCTATTATCCTCTCTTGCTCCCCCTCCCTTCCCTTCCCCCCAATAAAGTCCCTTTTCTACTTTCATATCTTGTATTTTTTCCCATGAAAAATGTTTTTGTTTTAGAAAGAAAAACAGAATCAAGGACCTTGTCCTGCCGCTTTATATTACAACTCTTATACTCGTATATGTGTGTACAGCTATATGTTTATAAACAGGTATGCAGATGTTTTCTGGGTAGTAGAGTAGCATTTTCTTATGCAGCCATTAGAAACAATCAAAAATCATTAGAAAATGTGTGATGGCAACAGCACATTATTTACTCTAATTTTTTAACGTAGATTCCTCATTGTGCAGGAACCATGAAATATTTGTCTTTCAGGTTCTGCTTTATTTTGGTACATTTCCCTGCAAATGACATGACTTTGTTCTCCTTTATGGCTGCAGAAAACTCCAGTGTATTTATAGACCATCTTTATCCACTTATCTGTTGATGGCATCTAGGCTGGCTCTGCACTAACCTGACTGTTGTGGGTCTAGTGTGGGAGTGCATATGGATAACAAAGACTTCTGTGGGGTGCTGCAGTGCATGTGGATGACAGGGACCTCTGTGAGGTGCTGTAGTACATGTGGATGACAAGGACCTCTGTGGGGTGCTGTAGTACATGTGGATGACGGGGATCTCTGTGGGGTGCTGCAGTACATGTGGATGATGGGGACCTCTGTGGGGTGCTGCAGTACATGTGGATGACGGGGATCTCTGTGCTGTGCTGTAGTACATGTGGATGACGGGGATCTCTGTGTGGTGCTGCAGTACAAGTGGATGATGGGGATCTCTGTGCTGCAGTACATGTGGATGTGGGGATCTCTGTGGGGTGCTGCAGTACATGTGGATGATGGGGATCTCTGTGCTGTGCTGCAGTACATGTGGATGATGGGGATCTCTGTGTGGTGCTGACTTCAGGTGCTTGACTTCCTTCTAGGATAAACCTGGAATGGTATAGCTGGATTACATGGTGGTTTTGTTGTTGTTGTTTTGTGTTTGTTTTTGAGACAGGATTTTGCTGCATAGCCCAGGTTGTCCTTGAACTTACTGGTAACTCAGGCTAACAACAAACTCACAGTCCTCCTGTCTCAGCCTCCCAAGTGTGGGATCACAGTCCTGAGCCACCAAATCCGCCTCATATAATAGCTCTGTCTTTACAGAACCTCTGCACAGATTTCCTGTAACGCCTGCACCAGCTGCCCTTCTCAGTGCTCTCACCGTGGCTCTGGGTGCTGTCTCACACTGTGTTGTGTATATACATCTATCCTATAGATGACATCTATCCCATAGATGACATCATCTATCCCACAGATGGCATCATCTATCCTACAGATGACATCATCTATCCTACAGATGACATCATCTATCCTACAGATGACATCTGTCCCATAGATGACAGATGTGTTCAGATCTAGTCTGAGCTGAAGAACTGGAAGCTGCCTCAAATGAAACCACAGAGAATGTCACCTCATTCCTGATGGGATGGCTGTTAACAGAAAGACAGGCTATAGCAGTGACCGCAGTGACTGGAAATTAGTAAGCCATTACTAATAGAAAGCAACCTGGAGGTACTTCAAGATACTAAAACTGAAATTTCCACATGATCCAACCAGAATGGAAGTCAGTAGCATAGAGAAAGTTGGACTCCCATGTTCTTTACAGCCTTGTTCATAATAGCTTGTTCATAATAGGGTGGTACAATCAGCCTGAGTCCATTTCTGGGTCCAGAGATAAAGAGAATGTGGTGGGTGCATGCAGGTAACTGTTACTCAGTCTTTACAATGAAGACAATGTGGTGGGTACATGCAGCTGACTTACTCAGTCTTTAAAAAGAGACCCCAGTCATTTTGACAGTATGAGACAGCGTGAAGGATGAGATATTAAATGAAATAACTCAAACAAAGAAAGACAAATGCCACATATTCTTTTTTTTTTTTTTTTTTTTTTTTTTTTTTTTTAGGGGTGGCGGGGTTTGAGACAGGTTTTCTGTGTAACAGCCCTGGCTGTCCTGGAACTCACTCTGTAGACCAGGCTAGCCTTTAACTCAGAGATCCAACTGCCTCTGCTTCTCAAGTGTTGGGATTCAAGGCGTGTACTAACACCACCCAGCATACCACATATTCTTACATGTAAACAAACAAACAATAAAAGAATGAACTTTTGGCAGACAGTACAGTAGAAGTTTGTGGGAACCAAGTTTGAGGTAAAGCCACGTGGGTGAGATCTAATGTACAGGACAATGGCCCAGTTAGAGTTCTCTACAGTTAACTTAGAATTTATTACAGCAGGTTTTAAGTATCACACACACACATACAGTAACTATGGGTAGTGATGGTGTTTAATTAATTTGTGTTATTCAGTACACCATATCCATATATTAAATCAGTGGGTTGGACATCCTGGATACACAGAGTTTTGTATCAGTTAAGTATCTTTTATAAGAAGGATGAAGCCAGGCATAGTAGCACACACCTGTGTCCCTGTATATGAGAAATGGAGGCAAGAGGATCAAGAGTTCAGGCTCAACCTAAATACCTAGTTCAGCTTGACACAGGCTAGAGTCTTCTGAAAGGAGGTAACCCCAATTGAGAAAATGCTTCTATGAGATCTAGCTGTGGGGTGATTTCTCAATTAGTGATTGATGGGGGAGGGTAAGCCCATTGTGGGTGGGGCCATCCCTAGGCTGGTGGTCTTGGGTGCTATAAGAAAACAAGCTGAGCAAGCCATGGAGAGCAAGCCAGTAAGCAGCGCCCCTCCACGGCCTCTGCATCAGCTCCTGCCTCCAAGTTCCTGCCCTGTGTGAGTTCCTGTTCTGACTTCCTTCAGAGATGGACTGTACATGTAAGGATAAGCCAGATAAACCCTTTCCTCCCCACAAATTGCTTTTGGTCATGGTGTTTCATCACAGCAATAATAACCCTAACAACTGAGACATTGGGCTATATGAGACCTTGCCTCAAAAAAGGATAAACAAATGAAATAAATCAAATGGTTTATATCTAACCATACTCCTTTTAAAGTAGAAGACTGGAGAAGTGGCTCTGCAGGTAAAATGCTTTCTGCTCTTGCAGAGGACCCAAGTTCGATTCCCAGCACTCAGGTCAGGTGGCTCACAACCTCCTGTAACTCCAGCTCTAGGGACCTGACACCCTCCTCTGGCCTCTGCAGACACTGCACATGTGGTATTCCCTCACACAGACACAAAATAAAGCAGAGCTAGAAATCAAATTAACCAAACAGTTTCATTTTAACAGCTGGTAGAGAATGAAGTATTTGGGAGCATGCAGATCTTCTTTGAGGGTCTAAACAGCTACCTGTGCATAGACGTTCCCTCGCTGATGCATGAGTATTGCATGAACTCTGCCTTGAAGAGGCTTTTTCAGGTGCTTGCTCTGCTAATAGCGTGTGTGACCCAGAGGAATACGTGGAACGGTAAAACTTGAATGAACCTTTGAGTTGGAATTTCTGCTGAGCTGCGTTAACCCAGTCCAGCGGCAATGAAAGTGACAGTGGCTGGATTGGATAGGATTGTGTCCCTGTGGTAGAAAAGCCAGCTGCATGTGACCAGGGCTGTGTTCCACCCTAACACAAGTATGTCCACTTGTCATGACTCCCCCACCCCATAGAGGGAGGGAGGAAGGGGCACTTGAGCATGCCTTTGGCAGGTTATCTACTGGAGGACCAAGTCTGTGTACCCTACCCTGTGTCCCTTGGCCCAGGACTCGGCCACTTGGACCACTCCAGCCTTCAGATCAGTTAGTTAGGCAGAGGTAAGGTGTTATATCCCTAGATGGTGAAAGCAGATATTTATGGTCAAGTCTCTTCTGCCATGACTTCACCTGACACAAAAAGTCCCAGGTTCTCAAATCTGTAGTCAGTGCTGTTGCTGAACTACCAAACCGTATGGCTGCACCTGCCAGAGTGCACACATGCATGCATTCCGTGGCTGCACCTGCAGGTGTGTCCAGCATGTGAGTAGGTTCCAGATCTGCCCTGTGCTGAATTATTAGGAACTGTGGGCAGGGTTTCAGACCAAGTGAAACTCATCATGCAGCCAACGTCTGTGTCCCTCTGTATGTGTGTCGTGCACACTCATGCTCCTGTTAGTAATTTAGCAAAGTAACAATGTTACAAGTAAGATGTATCGAGTGCAAGTGATTCCAGCAGCAGGGAGGCGGAAGCAGAGGACTGGGAGTTCGAGACCAGCCTGAGTGACGTAGCGAGACATTTGTGCAGAGTCCTGTGTGGGGGTGTATGCCATTGTTCTCCTTGTCTGTGGAAAATGTGTACCTGACTGTGTAATAAGTAGCTGAACTGGCTTCCAAAAGAGGTGTGTCAGTTTATGCTCTCTTAAGCATTGTGTGGTTGTTCTAGGAAATCTGGGGACAGGTGGTGGGGGTGGTTGTTTCACTTTACAATCATGGTGGCTGTGTAGTGCTATTTTCTTGGAATTTGAATTTGCATTCACTAGTCACTTCTGTTATCAAACTTTGGTATATAGGCTATTTTTTTATCTTTTTTTCCTTACATTTATTTACTTATTTGTTGGGAAGCAGCGCATATGGAAATCAATGGACGATTTGTAGAAGTGCTCTCTTGTTCTACCATGTGGGGCCTGAGGATCAAGTCATCAGTCCTGGGACCATCTTCACCCACTGAGCCATCCTGCCAGCCCTCAGATAACAATTTTTGATGTTGTCTGTTTAAAAAAAAAAAAAAAGTTCCAGGGAATCTGGCATCGTAACACAGATATATATGCAGGCAAAACACCAATGCACATAAAAAATAAAAATAAATCTTAAAAAAATAGGCATCATAAATTCTTTTTTAAAAAATGTTTTTGTCTTTTATGCTGTGGATATTTGTCTTACTGTTAGTGGATGACTTTGAAAGCTCTTTAACTGTTCCGATGGAAGTGAGCAATATTGATATAGCAAATATTTTTCCCTTTTCTGGACCTTGCTATTACGTATTCTTATGGTGTCTGAAAGCTGAAACCCTAATTTTTTATTGAAGGCCTATTAGTCCATCTGGAATCTCCCAGCTGTCGTTAGCTTGAAATCCTATTACATCGTCATGGTTAAAGGCACCAGGGACGCTTCGTTACTATCTTCTGGGGAGCTTCGCAGTTCTCACCCCTGCTCCTCAGTAGCTCGTGTGTGCTTCCTCCCTGATTGCTCTTAAGATTTAATCACTCTGGGGTGGATCGATGGCTCAGTGGTTAAGGGCACTTGATGGCCCTTTTGAGGACAGTTCAGTTCCCAGCACCTACGTGGCAGCTCACAGCCATCCATAACTCCAGTTCCAAGGGATCTGACACCTCCTTCTGACCTCTTCGGGCACCAGGTGGGCACATGCATACATGCAGGCAAAACACTCGTGCATATAAAATAAATAAATCTAAAAAGAGCAAGATTTAAATCTCGATCAGCCATGGGGCTGGGCTGGAGAGATGGCTCAGTGATCGATCAGGATCACTTTTTTTTTCAGAAGACCCGAGCTCAGTCCCCTGCACCCTGACCTTCAAGAGCTGCTCATGCCCCTCGAGAGAACGGTGTGGCATGCTCATGGCTTTTTCTCCATGACCTCCATCCTTCCCTGGGCTAAGGGGACCTCAGGTTCCAGCTGGATCCCAGCCCCACTGCAGCAGCCTAGCTTCCTCCTCATCCTGGTGGCCATAAGGGACATAAAGTATACCACTCCAGCATCTCACTTGCTGTCTTCACCTTGATTAGGGACACAGCAGACACTGGTTTGTCATTAGATATGTGAAGACAGCTAAAACATTGATTCGCCAGACATACCTTTCTACCCAAGAGTCATCTGTCCTAACTAACCTCTTTTTTTAGTTTTTACATTATTATTATTTATAAATATACATTATTTATTAGTGTGTATTGTGTTGTGTGTGCAGTGTGTGTGTGTGTGCATGTTCCACAGAGCATAGATGGAGGTCAGAGACAACTTCATAGAGTTGGTTCTCTCCTCCACCTTTACATGATTCCAAGAACTGAACTCTCTGGTGTGAGAGAAGTGCTGTTACCTGCCAGGCCATTTTGCAGGCTCCACTAACTGAACTTTAAGGAAAAGAATTTTAAGGATAAAAGATATTTATGGTGTGAATTCATTGATGGGGAATGCCACTGGGATGGAAGACATGTGTCTGCCTGGCCGACCTAGTGTTCAGATTTGAGTTTGCTTTTTTGCCCAGCTCTCTGCCCCCAGCTCCCGGAATTCTCTGTATCTGGCACAGGTAGCAGTTTTACAGTTCTTGTCACACATTTTAGCCCTTTTATTTGCCCTCTAAACATCACTTGTAGATCACACAGCTACTCTTGCAGCTGTGATAATTGAAGTATTTTACCTTATTCTCTAAAAGCAGAACTTACAGAATTGCTGCTACTAAATTTTGCCCTAGTGTAGGAAGATCATGGCCTGGCCCCTTTAAGCACCAGGCTCACCCACCACACAGGGCCAGAAACATCATGGAGCCCACATGACCCTCCCACTGAGGCTGCCAGCCTACCTCTCTAGGTGTCTAAAGAGCAGACGGCGTCAGCAGGACAGAGGCATCATCTCCAGCAGGCAGGTCTGGGTTCCCCTCAGCCTCTGCACACCAAGGTCTGCACTGAAACAGCTTCTTGGTGTGAGCATACCGAATACTTGCCTCCATTTGTTGCTGACTTGGTACATTAGTCACCTCCGTTAGGTAGCCTTGGAGCGTCAGAAGTTTGAACAGAACTATCATGAGACTCAGCATATGCCATGCTTCATTCCAGTTAGGTTTTCCCTGTCGTTCAAGTCCTAGGTTCTTTCTCCCTGGGCAGCTCACATGACCCTCCCCCCCCCCCTAGTTTTCTGTGACTTTTCTTTTAAAGGAAGTAAAAGGCTTGAAGTAACACCTAATGTCCTCCACCCTGACTGGGTGGGCACAACCAGAAGAATCAAGTTGGGAGTAAAAATTGCCCCGGTGCAGAAATAGTCATAGAGCATGTCCTCCAGCTCCAACAAGCCCAGAGCTCCAGGACAAGGCTGGGACAGAGCCCTCTTCACCTTGGGCTTGGCTGTGAACTTAGTATTAAGAAGGGGCCACCAGTGTGGAGGTAACTTCACACTCACACACACACACACACACACACACACACACACACACACACACACACACACGGCACCCCAGTAAGCCTGAGGAACTGGTGCGATATCGGTGCAGCCCTGTTCAGTCTCCCACACAGTACTTCTCTGAGTGACCACAGGCCACTGTCTTCAGTGTGCCACCTCACGGGGGCTCGCTCTCTCCTGAGCCCATGCATGAAAGCCCCTGTCCTGGCCAGGTTGTAGTCTCTGCTAAAAGCCCTGATCTGTTGGTGATACACTGATTCCCAAAATAAAGAATAGCTATAAGACTAGGAATCTTCTAGAAGTTATGGCTTAGCCTCTGGCTGATTTCAGCTTTCCTGTGCAGAGCCCGTGAATGTCTCATCGTCTCCGCCTCTCTTTCCCGCACTCTCTAGGGAGATGCAGTTAAGGACCTGATGCTTCGCTTCCTGGGTGAGAAGGCTGCAGCGAGGAGACAAGTCTTGACCGCCAGCTCGGTGGAGCAGTCTTTCGTGGGTCTGAAGCAGCTCATTGTAAGTAACACACGCTGATTTCAGCGTCTTTGATAAGACCTGGCTTCCTTCATAGTCTTTGCACCCCCACCCTCCGCCCCGGAAGTGAGTTGCTCTGAAGACAGCACCAGACACTGTTGCACAGAAAGTGTTGTTGGGTTCCGTGTCTGTCCTGGGCAGCAGAAAGCGCTCCGTCCACGTGCTGCTCATTGGGAGTTCGTGTGGTGACTGCAGACAGCAGAGACTCCCGTTAGCTACAACAAATGCAGATAGTTTGTTTTGCTTGTTTGTTCATTTTTATCTCTTGAGGCAGAGTCTCCCTGTGTCCCTCAGACTGGCTCTGAGTCACAGGCTTGAGTGATCCTCAGACTCTTAAGACAACAGGCCTTCGTCACCTTCCTCCTCACTATGACAACAGGCCTGCGTCACGGCCTTTATGGTCTTTTCAGATGTGCTCCATTTGCTCTGGCTCTACTGTTTAGTGAATTCCCAAGTATTTCTGTAAGTATATTCTAAGTATTTCTATTCGTGAACAGATCTCTCTAATCTGCTAGCCCTGCACCGTCATCCCTACTCAGCCTGATCTCTCTCCAGTGAGTTCCTGACTCGTGGGAGAGCTTCAGCAGTGCTGGTTGCTCTTCTGGATTATCAGGGGGAAAGTCTCGGAGGTTGATCCCACATACATCCTGTAGGAATCCTCAGGCAGCCTTCTGGTAATGGATTACTCTCAAATGGTAGCCTTATTTCAGACTCAGGCAGCGTCTCCTTCCCCTGCCTCATTCATGAACTCTGGTGTCGCTCCTCCGTGGTGCCCGTGTCCAAGCGGTCAGTGGGTGTGCCATGTGAAGGGATCCGGGAAATGATGTGTTTGACTTCAGAAGTGAGAGGTCAAGCTCTTGCTCTGACTGTTCAGACAGTCTCCTAATTATGATGGACAGTCTAAAGGATCCATTCCCTTTTAGACTTTGAGTGAGAGGTGGGTTTCTTGCTTTATTACACTAATTTTTCAGAACTACTTTTATTACTCTGCCATCGCTGTGACCTGGTGAGACACTCAGCCTTGGGGGACTGAGAAACAACTGGATTCTTGGACTTTCTATTCACAGCTAGCCACTGTTGGATTAGTTGAACTGCAGCCTGTAAGTCATTCCAATAAATTCCCTTTATACGTATATTCATTCCATAAGTTCTGTGACTCTAGAGAACCCTGACTGATACAGTAATTTTTTTTTTTAAATTTTAAAGGAAAAAAAATCCTTCATGTGGCTTGGGCTTCTGAATTCAGGAGAACCCTTCCATGAAGGGGAAAAGCCACACTGCTTTGTTAAGAGCTGCTGTTAAAGATAAGACATCCTCCACTCCCTGACTGTGACTCAGGACACCTCTCAAACATCTGTAACCTCTGGCAGGTGAGGGCACAGGAGTTTACTTGCCCTGGAGCACAGCACTCACGTCCAGGCTTTGTGTGGACTAAAGATACAAAAGTCTCACTTTAAAAAAAAAAAAAGACTTTTTATCTTTCTGGGGCCAAAGAAGAGAAGTATGTCAGCTTTTCTTTTTTAAAACAGTTTAGAAGACTGAGGTAGATGTTGTGGCACACACGTGTGGTACCAGCACTGGAGAGGTGAAGGCCAGAAGACAAGTTCAAGGTCATCCTGAGCTACACAGTGAGGTCAAGGCTAGCCCAGGCAACGTGAAATCCTGTCTTAAAAAGCATAGTTTTGAGATTTTGGGAGTCTTTTGTTTTTTTTTTTAAACTGACTGCTTCTTAATCCACAAAATAAGGGAGGGGCCTCCACCACAAAGGACAGAGTCACCCCAGCCTCCATGCCTTCCTCACTGTGATAGACTGTAATTTGAAACTATAAGCTCAAATAAACATTTTCCCCTAAAAGGGGGTGGAGGGTGGGGGTGGGAACTAATCCCACCCAGATGTCCTAGGGTGTCCCAGTGGTGCCCAAGTCCTCGTGTTCTGCACAGCCCCTGAAGACCATGCTTTCTGATGGACTTTGATTAGTGATGACTTCCTGTCACATGACATAGTATTTCTGAATCACCACCTGTGTGCACTGGGGTTTATGCTTTACAGAGTAATAACTAGAACTGGGCTGTGTCCAGGAATGGTGTGTGTGTGTGTATGTGTGTGTGTGTGTGTGTGTGTGTATGTGTGTGTGTGTGTGTGTGTGTGTGTGTCCGTCCATCTGTCTGTGTATCTGTGTGTCTGTTTCTGATGGACGTGAAACAAACTCCATGTTGTTTCTTCAGCTTACGTGTGTTTATTCAGCAAACACATCAGTCTTTTGGCTCTGGGGAAAGACAGCAAAAGTTGGCTCGCACTCGCTCTCTGGAGCCACACCTTCACAGTGTACTCAGATTTAGAGATTTGGCACAATAGTTTTTAAAACTTCAAACCCCAGACTCACTGACCTGAGGGGGCTCTTCCTCAGCATCTTCGGTCCTGACAGACGCTGGCAGTGAAGGTCGGCTCCTGTTTCCTCCGACTCGCCACTTGCGCCCTCCACAGACAGCCGCCCGTTCTGAGCTTGCATAGCCGTTAGTTCCCAGGGTCGGTCACCACCAGGAATCCCTCGGGCCTTTTGTGCCCAGGATAAAGTCCCAGCTGTTCCAGACTGAGAGGCCACCAACCGCCCCCCCCCCTCCATCTCCCTCCTCTGTACACTGCTTCTTCTAGAACAGTTGTGTGGTCAACCAGAAACACACACCTTCACTCGATAACCTGGAAGAGTCCAGAACCCAGCAGAGACCTTGTCCTGTTACAGAGGCAGGCCGCTGTCACCATGGCAGCCGTTTATCAGCGGGAGCCTGGGCCTGCCAGCAGCAGTGTGACCCAGAGTCACCTCTCCTCTCAGCGTGTTTCACTACACGACCCATGTGCTCTCAGAAAGGTCAGTGACTCGCGTGCTGCAGTGTACTGTATACGTAACAGTTAGGGTTAATTTTCAGTAAACGTCAATCTAATGTCCCATTGATTCTCTTACTAAAATGATTCACAATTATTCCTGTGATTAAAAGCTTTACGTAGCTCAGCATATCAACACGTGCCTGTAATTCCGACAATCTGAGGCTGAGGTGGGAAGATTATGTGTTGGAGACCAGTTGGGGTTGTGTAGCGGGACATTAAGAAGATAAGACTTTGTCAGAGAAAAAAGGAAGATGCTGGGGACAACTGCTTTCAGAGTCTGCTTTTCTTTGATTGTTGGTGAAGTTGTCGGTGGCTGTCTCTGCAGCCCATGGGAGCTGGTAAGGTGAACAGACCTTTCCATGGTAAGGGGCACCCCTCCCCCTCTCTCTATTTGGCCTTTAAAACACACACACACACACACACACACACACACACACACACACACACACACACACACACGAGCACACACAGTAGCCTGTCTTGATGACGGACGGGCTTCACTTAAAGCATGACTTCATTCCCCAGCACATCTCTGAAGTCACACGCGAGCCGTGTGCGGATTGTAATCCTGCTGCTTTCTGTGTCTCTACCGTCTGTGGTTATCCCTGGTACTAATACATGCTTGCATTTTTCTCCCCATACATTGAAAATGTTAAGGTCATGGGAAATCTTACTGCAGGTCCCAACCTGCATCTTCAAGACAGGGGTGTATTTATAAAAAGACCATGGTGTTTAATTGTGTCCTAAAGGAATTCCTACCGTCTTTAAGGAGGAGAGAGCTTCTGAATATATTTTCCTACATCTCATCAGAGCGTTCTAAGATTGTAATTTACAGATAAGTGAATGTCACTGCTGGAGAGAAGGACATTTTAATCACTCCTGTGGTGTCAAGGGCAGAATGAATGATGTCCTCTGAGTGCAAGCAGATGAGCTGTGCACTTACCATTACTTCTCACTGGACAGTTTGTCTTAGCTTTGGAAATCAGAGGATGCCTATGTTCAGTTTTCAAACAGTCTTCTTATCTTCTTTCCTAGTTTTTAAAAAGCAATATTTAAATTTAGAAATTTTCCTCATCCCATACTGACTTCATCATCAGACTGCTACAAGGCCTATCTAGGGGAGATGAAGTTTCCATAAGATTTCTTGAAGCCTGAAGTTTTGTGTGGCATGCTTCAAGTACTAAATTTAAAAAATATTTCTTTACTGAACATTTCCAACGTCTCACATTGAAAATAGAAGGGAAAAAAGAAGGTAGGAAATGCTGAGAATAGCAAAAACCACTTAAGAAAATAATTACCTTTTCGAACAGCAGGTGGTGGGTGAACGACCCTAAGTAGCAGTCCTGGGGCTGGCAGTGTAGCTCAGCGATGGAGGGATTGTCCAGCATGTTCGAGGTTCAGCTCCAACGCCGCTGCCACCACCCAAAAAACCCCAAACATTGAGGATAATGATGAAAAAGACAACTGCTTTGGATAAACCTCCAACTGAATATACGGAACTGACAGAAGATCTGCATTCAGGATATAAAAAGATATTAAAAAAAAAAAGGACTCCTCAAACCAAGAAGGAAAAGAGAAGAGACAGAAGGCATAAAGAGGTTCCCGGAAATCAGGTGGCCCATAACTATCGGAAGAGCTCACCTCCAGCAGGAATCACAGAGCAGGAGTGTCCCAACACCAGCAGCTTGGCAGAGGTCGGCAGCACAGCCAGTCCATGAAACTGCCTTACAGAACAGCCTGACAGCAGCTAGTGACATGGGTTGTCTTAGTTGGGGTTTCTGTTGCTGTGATGAAACACCGTGACCAAAAGCAGCAGGCCATAGAGGGGTGCTGCTTACTGGCTTGTTCCCCATGGCTTACTCAGCCTGCTTTCTTATAGCAAGGGGTGGCCCCACCCACAGTGATCTAGGCCCACCCACATTCATCATTTGTCAAGAAAATGCCCTGCACATTTAACCACAGGCCAGTCTAGTGGAAGCGTTTTCTCAATTGAGGTTCCCTCTTCCTGAATGACTAGTTTGTGTCAAGTTGATATAAAACCAGCCAGCATGTGGGTGTTCAGTAACCTTTGACCCCACAGTTCCACTTCTAATGTTAG